TTAACCTCATCTGGTTTAATGGTGTGGAAGAAAATCATCGTCTTTATTCAGCAGAGCTGTGCCTGTGTCTTATGTTGGTTTGTCCCTTTGACTCAAAATCCCACAAGTTTTTTGTTTTTGTCATACAGAGAGAATATTTCTTGAACCTATGAATATATTCTAAAGTTAAAACGGGCAGGACCCTGGCTTTTTATCTCCTTTTTTTAAATTAGGACTTGTATGTCCCAGGACATACAAGTTATGGGACTTATAGGACATCTGGTGGTGGACCCCCACCAACTTTGTTTTAGCTTTCTGGCAATGCATCTGATCCTTTAAAATTAATACTTTAGTGTGTATTGCATATGTCTGACTGACTGATTGAATAGACAGGGAAATAATTTGTTCAGTCTTTATTCTGTGATAAGCGAACTGTTAGCCAGTTTCACTTCAGTTTCCATCTGCTTCTCATATTATCTTGCTGTAAAGTCATAAAACAGAGTTGGGGAAAAAGCAATTAGAAATACTAAAGAAAAGCATTCTTCTTAGATACTGTTTTGTTCAGCAAAGATTAATGTAGACTGTAAAGATCTTTGTAAACAAAGTGTTCTTTACTGTTCCAACTTTATAGCTTATCACAGAAACCTTAATAAAAAGAGTGCTCTGTAACTTAAAGAAGTTTTTCATCAACCATCAAATATACTAAGTTGGGCACTCAACTTCTTCTTTATACTTCCAACATACTTTGTATAATTCTGTATCTGAAGGGAATTACAGAAAGACTTTATAAATAGGATTTTTATTATAGAAATGCATATCTGTACAGCTTTGTAGATAAATTAGAACACTTTAAAAAGCTCTCTTTTTTCTATTCTATGACTTTACGTATGTCAGGATCTAATTTCTCCTAGTTGTGTTATGCTTTCTCAGGTGGGTAAGTTGGGATAGGAAGACCCAGTGAAATCAGGCTTTTGGATCCAGGGCAGATCTGGAGATGCCAGGGACCAAACTCAACTTCCCTGAGCTGCTCAGGGCCGGAGATGCTCCCTGCTGATGAGTCAGTCCTTGGAAGGACTCATTCATCTCTGGCCTTAGCCAGAAAGTCCTTCTGTCTGTCCCTAAAATTGTGGACTTCCCATCACAGGGAGATCCCCTGCACATGCCAACATGCCATAGTGAGCAGGTGAGAACTGGCAAAACTGAATTGCTCTGTATTCAGACATGGCTGTTCAGCTTTTGTTCAGTTGACAGCAGACCTGTCTTGGCAAAGATACATTTTGGCCACGCATACCTGGTTGATTTAGAAAAGGTACTAAATTGCAGGCTTACTTTAGCAGTTAAAATCTAAACTGTGGCTGTAATGGCCAAAATGTAATGAGACCTAAAATTTTCCGAATTTTGGCCAAAACTCATTTTGGATTTGCCTTGCAACAGAAATGCAAAGCTTTCTTCATGAGAGATAAAGAAGAAGTCCATCCTCAAATCAGTGATGAGCTGTCCAGTGAAGTCTCTCCAAGCTGTAGTCTCGAGAAGAGATCTTTGCTCCGTGTGCATCCCTTCAGACAGAGCCTGTGGGGTAACCTATGTCAGATATGATGTCATGAACCATGACTGCTGCAGGTGAAAGGGGGGTCTGTAGCCAGTTTCCGTGGTAACTGGTAACCTGCAGCTCGCTGACGCAGTAGTGGATCTGTCCTTGTCTGTGCACAAAGCATTCAGTGATGGACACATATAGCTGTCCTAGAAAAGCCTTGGCAAAGTGTTGATTTGGTGGAGGGCAAGCCTTTTTCCCCTTTCTAGCAAGGCATTTTCACTTCTGTTGTGTTGTGCTCTGTTCCTCTGTTTATTTGGCTTTTTCGGAAATATTTGGCATAACTTTTATTGTTTGAAACATGACTTTCTTTTGTGTTACAGTTTGCAATGAATTTTCAGACTGGCCCAGATTTACATCCTGTTTTGCAGCTGCTTGAGGTTTTGTTTTGGTAGCTTGCTGCTTGCAGGAAGAAAAAACATATCAGCTCATGAACTTCTAAAATCACGGAAAGCCATTTCCTGAAGTTGTAAAGATAGTATCATATACAAAATTATGAAAAGATCAATTCTGTTCTTTCTGTAATGCGCAGTGTATTGGAAGAAGGTTTGTTTGGATTCTTTAGTGTTCGGATTACCCCTCATAGCTGCTAAAGTGTTAAATTACAATAGGTTTGTTATCAGATCCTATGTATCTGCTTCTTTTGTGGTGTCTTCTTGTACATCCTGAAACTTTGATCAACAGTGTATATATTGCCTGAGTGAGGAATGAGTAAGGCTTGTTGGACATGGAGATTAATTCTTGGTTTGAGATATCTGGAACTATTAAGCACTATTTCTGACATTATTCTCCAGACCAGTAGTTTAAGCACTGTTTGTGCTGCTCAACACTGACACATTTAATTTCATGGAAGAGTCATAGAATCACAGACTAAGCCGAGTTGGAAGGGACCCATTAGGATCATCAAGCCCAGCTCCTACACAAAGCACCACAATCACACCATGTGCCTGAGACCACTGTTGAAATGCTTCCTGAACTCAGACAGGGTTGGTGCTGTGACCACTTCCCTGGGGAGCCTGTTCCAGTGCACAGCCACCCTCTGGGTGCATATCTTTTCCTGATAGCCAACCTAAACCAGCCCTGGCTGGCAGCTTCATGCCATTTCCTTGAGTCCTGACACTGGTTAGAAGAGTGAAGAGATTGGTACTTGCCCCTCTGTGAGCAAGACAAAGCACAATTAAATATAAAAAAAACATTTTCCAGACTCTGGAAGGTTTCTGGTAAGTGTCTGTAACTAAACCTGTCTTGCACTCCTTACACGACTACCAAAGAGAAGAGATGGATAATCAAGTTTTGTGTGCTCATATAAGGATGCGTAATATGCTTTAACCTTTCTTCCTCTGTGTTGTTGAGCATCAGTAATGTTAAAGCTAAACAGCTGGAAGCAGTTTTATCACTTTGCAACTGTGCCTGGCCATGTACCACAGGTGGGCCTTCTGAAGCCAGGGAATGCTGGCAATTGCAGTTCAGGCTTTTTTTGTTCACTGGGACATCACGCCTTTAACCAATCAAGACTGGTGAGCTAACAAGTGAGAGGGACCTCCTGTTGTCTTCAGTGGTTTTTTACTTCACAGCTTCCAGAAAAAATGATTACTACTAGAAAAAAAAAACCCAACAACCTCAACCCAAAACCTCATCACAGCATTTAAAGAAGCGCCTGTAGAGAGCATAAATCAAACTGGTCACTAGACAGACCATAAGCTTTCAAAAGCTTTGGATGTTTTTCCCAGAAAAATACAAAGGTCATTTTTAGAAATGTACTAATAGGTATGATTTTTCTGAGATGCTGATGTGGAACAGTCAGTATAAACAGTCCAGGAAAGAACAGAAGAAATGTCAGATTCACCTTTAAGAACAAAGAAATATTCTGATAGCTTAATAACACGTTTGCCTTGTTCTGAGCTTAAACAGCTTAGTAAACCTGAGCTGTCCAGGTGTTTCCTCAAAGCTGTGCTTGTGCATTTGGATGACTTTAAAACACATAGATCTTAGAAACTGGGTGTGGTTGTTCATAGATACCTTTGAGCACAGGTTACAGTGTCTTCCCAGATGGTAATTAACTGGTTAATTTAAACCCATTTTCTGCACACTTTCATCTGGTTTTCATGTGGAGTATGGTGGAGTTGCCAGTGTGTAACACTGGGTGCTGTGTTGGAGAAGGTTTTTAAGTGTTCATCAATAAATAATGTGTTTGAAGTAGGTAAGAAGTCAGTTCTTTGCAAAGTTGGGTAGTATAAGGACACTTAAATCTGTCATCAACACTTTAAACAAATACTACCTTGTCTTGTAAATTATTTTAGTGAAAGCCTAATTAATAATAGCTGTGGACAAGCAGATTAATCTCACCTAGGGATTGCTTGCAGCTGTTGGTTCACTTTCTCAAAGTCTTGCCAGTAGTGTCCAGGATCCTAGAAGGTGGATTTTGTTCCATGGAGATCAATTGCTCAATATCCATTTCAGTAGGCATCTGCTATGAGCAAAGGACAGGACAGGAGTTGTGCCTTTATAGGCACAAATCTCTGCTTTCTTGTTTATTTAAGTCTTGATGTACATACACACTGAGCATAGGTAATGTGATTTACCTGTTGTATGATGTAGTACCATTAAGTTTTGATGTTACTAGATTAGCTGTATATTGTATTTTGCTAAGTATGTGCAAGAAAATTAACAATTTCTGTATGCCCTAAATTTACTGGATACAAAATCATTACCAGGAAGACCTTAGAGGAGGAGAAATGAAGGGGATGTGGTAGGGGGGAACATGGTTCTTGATCTGGCTCCTGGTTGATCTTGGACACACGGCTTTCTCTTTCTCTTTTCCATTTGCTAAATGTAGCTGATTACCTCTTCAAACAGAACAATTTGATATCTCCTGATAGAAATAACAGCCAATTCTTATCTAGGGTTATTATTCAGTGAAACATCTGTAAGGGGTTCTGGTAACAAGGAGACATAATTTTAGTTACTCACAGATAAATCCCATGTCCTTAGCCATGACATTGCTGTTCTGTTTTAGTATCTCACTGACTCGTTTTTAAGTCTTAAGATCCTTAAAACAGACCAGATACTTTCACTTCATTGCGCAACTTCATTGTTCTTAAATGCCAGAGATGTAGGTGATAGTCCTGAGTAGAGCATATGAAAAGCAAGCATGAGAATCATGGATTTGCTGCAAGAATAACTTCAGAAATGGTATTAGCAACAACAGTGTGTGTGTGAATGTGCTACATGATGAGGGGAGAATCCCAGTTAAAGTGTTGTTGCTAAACAAGTGACAAAGACCTTGCAAACAGTATGAGAATGTAGGCCAACTGTGGTTATATAAATAATAAATCAGATCTGGTCTGCTACCTCCTACACATAGGGCTTTTTCACCTATTGTCATTTTTCTAACTTCAATTTAATTTGTCTTGGTTTTTTTTCCCCCCAGCATTTACTAAATGCTGTCAAGAAAGTGGTGTTCTGATGGTGGTCAAGTGTCGGCAGGAGAACACAGCACTGAAGGACTGTCTGGTTGGCTAGTAAGTCCCTCATGAGTTTTTGCTGGGTTTTTGTGCATGCCTGTACTAATCTAGAAATGTTAACTATTCTGAAAAGGGCTGTGCAGGGTTAGAGACTTGGATGTGTTTTCTGAAAATGGTATCTTCGCTTTATTAAAACCATGCTGGTCAGGGCCCTAACTGACAAGACTGTATTTACCATATGAATATATGGCTACAGTGACTCTCTTCTTGATTCACCTGAGGACAAATTTCAGTCTAGAGGACCTGCAGCCCTTTATCTGCTCTGGTACATCACAGATGTGGGGATAGGAGCGCACAGTGAAGCTTCTTCATAATCTGTTAGAGACAGGATAAGTTGGTTTACATTTTGCTTCTGTTTTTTAAGTTTTAGTCTGTCTTGAAAGTGTCCTGCTGTTGCGAACAGCAGTAGCAGGAGCAGTGGGAAATTGTTATATATGAGAGGTCAACTCAATGCCATGGTGGATTGAAACATCTTTTTTGGAAGTCCTAATTTACCCGCAGTGCCATTAGGCTGAAGTGTTAGGTTCTTGAATTTCCCAGGGTGCAGGCTGTGAAATTTTTGAGTTTGACTGGGAGGAAAAAGAAGGTTGGTTTGGTTTTTGGTGTGTCCTCCTCTCTAAACCAGTGATTTAGATTAAAAATAAATGCCTTTCAATTAGTGAGAGTTACTCTCAAGTATTTAGGAACTGATAAAAAAAATATATGCAGCTAGGCAAGAATTTAGGCCTAACTGCAGTTAGAACTTGCTGGAGTTACTCAGTTTTATTCGTCTGTTCCTTCAGCTTTTAAAAAAGATATAATTAAATAAAATGCTTCTTACAAAGAAAGGTTTATAGTGTTGAATAGTTACACTTTAAAAAAATTATGAGAGAAAGGAATTTAATGTAATGATCAAGGACCTCTGTATCTACTGTTAAAGACATACAGTTGAACTTATTCCCACTAGTTACTTGGGTGCATTAAAAAAATAAGTCAACTCCAGCAGTTTCCCGTGCTCATGAGGGTAACCACAAATGAATTCTGCAGCTGAACTTAAATACCAAATGTGTTTCCCTTTTTCTGCCTTTCCTCTCGGTGGCTTCACTTCAGAGGCTTGAAAAGGACTGTGCTTCAAAAGAGAACAGTATCATGACAGATACCTCTTTTTATAAAGTACCTAAGTGTTAAAGGTATTTTACTGTTAAAGGCAGATGAGTGTGAAAGGAAGATCAGTTATGAGTGGTACTCATGCAATATCTGTTCAATATTCCAAGATGAAAAACAATATGTATTTTTCTGTCTTGTAGCTATTCTGATCCATCATTCTATGAAGAATGCAAAGCAGAATATTTGAAGCAAAGAGAAGAATACAGAGCAACTGGAATTAAGAAAAAAAGACAGAAGTTTACTCCAAATGTGTGATTAAAACTTAAAATGAACTTTTTTTTTATATGCAATTTGGATTTCACTTGATTTAAACAGACTTAAATTGTCTGTACCACTCTGTGTGGAGTTTAACCGAAATATGCAAAATGAGATGAATGGAGAATAAAATAATGTCTGAAATTAAGAGTCAATTTAAAACCTTTTTGTAATTAAAGATCTAGAGCATGCTACCACAGTTTGCAAGAGAGATTACAAAGCTGTGTTCCTTTATCTGGACTTGAGATTTTGTTACCAGTGTACAATTTGGAGTTTACAATTCCAGAATGTCCATTTGGAATTTAAAGCCTGTATCTAGCTACATGAGCCAGGCTACATAAAAACTCAAGGGTGAGTAAGTTGTATCAACTGATCACAGATGGGGTGTACACTGAAGTTTGTCTGTTAGTCACCACCTGAAGCTGATTGTGTATGGAGATGCACTTACTAGAAGAGAAGGGTGGCAAATGCAGAAGAACTACTCAAACCAATGTGAATTACCCTTTTCATTAAAATGTTGTCAGATGAGAGCCTGGTAGTACCTGTGCCTGCACTGTAACTCATTTTTAAGTCTACATTGTGACTCACTTTTAAGCCTACACTGTCAGAAGGGATGGATGCCTTGCATTTGTGCATGGCCCAGACTGACCATTTCAACTCTAGAGGAGAAAGTAATCTCGTCCAGACCTTCCCTGAGAACAGAGAATAAGCTGCCATGCTTTGGAATGAATGAGTGACCACACTTGCAAAATTATTCCAGATAGAGTTGAGTAAACAACTCAACCAGGCATGGAAGATACAGATCACTGCTTGCAGGAACTAAGCATGTCCCTAATTTAAAAAGACCACACAAATGATCTTTCGTGTACTGATAGTTGAAGCTGCTTAATTGTAAAATGCTTAAATATCTTCACTAGAGATTACTAATATAAAGTTTTAGACATTATCTTGGAGTATCCTCCAAGCATTCTGAAATAAAACTAAATTCTTTAAAAGCAATGAAAAGCTGTACTTAAACTTGGTAACTTTAATGCCCTGATTAAAGAAGAAAAAAAGTAATTTTCTGAGTAATGAGTTGGATTTCATACTGTTCCATTAGAAGAGGAAACATTTTATTTATTTTAATACTGTTTCACCACAAACAGTATTCCTCTGTTCAAGGAGGAAATTTAGATTGACACGTGTATATGAAGGACTTCATGGTGCAGGTTAGTCATTGCACTTCATTCTGTGCCTTTTACTGGATTAATCATTAATAATGTTGCTTCAGCAGATTGGGTGGAGGACTGGATTTGTGGGTGACAAACTGAAACAATGTCTAGCATTCTGCCTTGTTAGGCAAATTTAAGGGGCACTCAGCTCTAAAGCTAACCACCTTGAAACAGCTTTTGTGGAACAGTGTCCTACACATGTTCTCAGCTTCTTAGCTCAGGTGTTTAGGAAAACAAAAATCCCAATTAGTTGTGCTGTATGTACTTTAAAAAGGAGGAAATTTAAGGTAGATGGTGACACATGTTTTTTAATGACAATGACTGGGTTTTGTCCCACTATGAAAATTTGCTGTATTTCCAACCTCTGGAAAGCCAGCCTAGGTGTTTGAAAGTGTTGGCAAAAGCCCTTCCCCAGAAGATTGGGGTGGGGGTTGTGCATTCTCTTGGGGGCAGTGCTAGGTGCTGCCAGTGGTGTGTGCCTGCACTGAGGGCTCACCTGGGTCAAACTCAGCTATGACTCAGGTCTGAGTCAGACAACAGCACCAGCAATAGAGGTCTCCTTTTTGCCTCAGCAGAAATTGTGAGCAATTTGCATGCAATTGTGTGCAGCAGGTGAGGGGGAACCCCCAATGCAGTGACCAGGACTGCAGGGGAGGAATGGATGTGTGAAATGGAACAAAACTCAGGTGAACCTGCAGGTATCACTCCCCACCCTTCAATAAAGGCTGTATGTGAATGGCAGCCACAACTCACATCTGTATGATGTCACACCTGAAATTCTATCTACTGAGTGCTACAGTCAGCCATTTATTTCTCTTCTCCTTCATCTGGATTGTTGGAGCTCCTCCATTTTACTCTGTAATGCACTCAGAGCAGGGATTGGCCCTTGGATCATGCACCAGCTTCCTCTATAATACACCTTTGGCTGTAATGTGATGTTCTCTAGCTTTGCATTCTTGGTTTCACACCTTTCATTTTCTTAGTATCTTATGCATACATATCCTGTACTTGAATTGCATTTACATCTTTTATTTAAAATTTAAATGAAAGAATGAGTACCATGACATGACAAACTCATACCACTGAATTATTTTCAGTTTTGGTTTTGTCTCAGCTGCAAACTCCTTTCTACTCAGGTTAACTGGGGGCAGCCCTGGATTCTAATCAGTGCAAGAAAACACAGCACCGGGGCCTATCTGTCCTCTTCAGAGCACTTGGAAAGCACCCAAGACACCCCCATTTTTCACTGGAGGCTGCACTTGCTGGCTGTATTAAAGGTCTCTTCAAATTCCTTAGGGGAGCCCCTTACAAATGGAAGATCTGAGAGGAAAGAGGGAGAAGGTGTCATATACTTAATTAAAAGTTTGCCTTCGGAGAGTAAAACCCAGACTTGGAGGGAAGATGAGGGGCAGTTTGTAACACACAGGGTTTTCAAAGGGCAGTGAAACAGCCGCTGCAATCTGAGATATCACTCAGAAATGAACCTGGAAGCCACAAACCCATTCTGTTCCACATTTAGTACGGCCATACTCCTTGTCAGTTAATTCCTGCAAGTAATTCCTCCATCTTGTTTACTCTGCTGATGACAAAATGGTCAAATACACTTGCAATATAAGTGTTCCGCCTAGTTAAAAATCGGTACAGTAACAGTAAGCACCTGGGTGTTTCTTGCATGCTTCTCTCTAGATCAAACAGCCATACTCAAACATGATCATCTTACCACTTTAATTACTGTATATTAATGTTTGACTTGCTCTCTTCCATCTTAAAATACAATTAAAATAATTTTGCTGGACACTTAATGCACAGGGTGGTTTTTTTAATGGTTCACCTGCAACTCAGTTAAAATTAGTATTTACCTTTACTGCGGTCATAAAAAAATAAAATGCTTTCATTGACCACCTTATGTTCATAAAATTACAAATAGTAATACCACTCTCCCTAAAGAAAAAAGATTAAAGAGCCTGACTCCTCAAAACCTCAAAAAATTATTTAAAAAAAAAAAAAAATCAACCCCCACACACCCTTTTTTATACTCAAACTACACAGAGAATCAGGGAAATACCTTAGACCTCTGTACCACTGTTCTTCACAGGCCCTGTCTGGAGAGCAGAAGACAATACAGGTATCAGTCAGGTACCAGAGCTCTTCAGTCTTCCTTTACCAGCCCATAGCATCATTGGAGCTACAGGTGTCTCAGCACAGGAGTGTCAAGGTCTGCTTCAAGTTGGTTTTGGAAGGAAATTCACTCTGCTTTATCCCACCAGTATAGTTCACGTGATACTTACATGGGCCTGTGTTTCATTACTTGCAATGGGTATTGTTTTACTGTAACTCCACCATATGTCTCGTGCTGCTCTTGTCTTTTTCCAGCTGTAAAAATTGGACAATGCATTACAGCTAATTTGGAGGTTTGCTTTCTTCAATATGGCTAGTTCACATCTGAGAAAAACTAATCGGCTGTACATCACAAAACTGGCAGGGAAAATTAAATGATCAGATTATGAAAATACTTGAAATTAACCAAACAGTGCAAGTTTACATATAAGTTATTAGAAGGTTCATCCAACTCACGAAATACCCAAATACGTATTCATCAGGTTGCCATCTGCGCATTTAAATCTGCAAAGCAACAACCTCCTCCTGCCCCAAAAGCTGGCTTTCATTTCTGTTAAATAGAGTTAATGCTTTCTTAAATTAAAAATTGTCAAATTGGTGGGTTGGGGGAAGTTTTAAAATGTTCAAAGTTTGCATTCAAGTTAAAATTTTCTTGGGGTCATTTCACATAATTATTTGAGAACTTTTGGCCCTACTATATGCAATTTTACAGTTTCATGTAACACATGCACATTAACACCAGAGCCCCATTCCTACAGCTACTTCTCCATGTAATTTGCTGTCACTGATGAAAAGATTTCACTTCTGCAAATGGAAAAAGCACTGTAAGCCATTAGTGGTTTGGATTTAAATGACTTTTCCATCTTCAGTCAAAATCTGATTGTAAGCTTTGGACCAACAGATGCTTCACAAGCCAGGGAGCTCCCAAGTGACTCCAAATCTGGGGACTTCCTTTTCAAATGTTACAGCTTGGACATGGCACTGAGTGATTGGATTGGAAATGCTGCCTGCAGCAAGCTCTCTGGCATCAGCTCCTGTCTCCCTAGTTAGCAGCAGTGCTTCTGAAGTTCTTCTCAGCAAACATTGCTACTCCCTTCTCCAGCATGGGAAGGAGCACAGAATATAAACCAAGGGTCAGATGCAAAACCTGGAAATTCTCAAGCTCTGTGCAGAAAATCGTAATTTTAATTTCACACGGGACAGGACAGGCTGACTGGGAACCTTTTGACAGAAGTCAAAGCAGCATAGCTTAAGTAACTAAATCCTTCAAGTTTCAACTTCCAGGGAGATACTTCTCCCAGAAGATGCTTAAGCAGGCTGCAGCAGATGGCTGTTTTTTCCCCTTGAGTCAAAGTGATGAACCTCAAATCTAATTGTTTGTATTTGGAAAAACATTTACACACAATAAAGGAATTAAAACTTCAGTAAAAAATTTTGTGCCAAATAGGGAAAGATTTGTTAGTGAAACCAATTTCAAACAAAAATAAATTTATTTAATATCTTACACAGTAGAACTCCTTCATTGCACAAATCATGTTAATGCCTGTTGGATATTACATTCCTTATTAAAAAAACCCTCTAACACTGAGGTGGGGAACCCCAAAAGTAAGCTACATTAAAACTAGGTACCATATAGCTTATGCAGCCACATGAGAAATGTTTCTTTGTTATTACATAGGTAGTTGGTTCTATCAGCTAAAGCCTAGTGACTTGGATTTGTTTTATGCATATTGGATTTTGTTCTATTACTTTCCAAGAGATTGTACTCCCCTGAGTCAGCTGTGTTCATTGGTCAGAATAAATTCCAGCATCTGACACCACTTCCATTAATCACAGACAAGCCAGTATACGTGAGCAAGATAATAGAAAAATAAAAACAATACCTGGTGAATGGGAAACATTGTTTATGCATGCTGTTTGTACTACAGGAGAAGGTATCTGGAAGGCATATTTTTGCCTTTGATAGACACAGTGCAAGATGGGCTCTGTCTGAAGTACTTACTGTACAGGGGAGAGTGTCTGGAACCACTCGGATCACATAGCACCCTCATAGCACTTCTACAGCCCATCATTACTGTGGCTGTGCTACAGGCAGAGCTTCCCCATGTATTTGCAAGCAATCTTAAGATAATTTGCTTCTAAACAGCTGTGACATTAATTTTTATTACTTTGATGTTAAGCTGGATCTGTGAAGCTGAATA